GGGAGATGCTCCAGGCCCCTCATCATCTTTGTGGCCTCTGCTGGACTCTCTCCAGAAGGTCCCTGTCCCTCTTGAACTGGGGAGCCCAGAACTGGACCCAACACTCCAGATGTGGCCTCACCAGAGCAGAGTAGAGGGGGAGGAGAACCTCCCTTGACCTGCTACCCACACTCTTTTTAATGCACCCCAGGATACTGTTGGCCTTCCTGGTCACAAGGGAACACTGCTGGCTCATGGCCAGCCTGCTGTCCACCAGGAATAAAACAACAGTATCCTAATATGAAGTACAGAAAGGTGCTCAATTCTTGTAATACCTTATTTCATAAAAAGAACTGTCTTCACATGTAATGACATCTGCTGCTTCTTCCTTATTCTACCTATCATCATCTTGTTGCAGTTCCAACCTGGACCATGCGTGACCTTTCTTTTTGGTTAAGGGAAGCAGTTATGCAAAATATCAGTTGCATTTCTACACCTCTCTGAACAGCACATTGTATTAGATGAATAAAAATCTCAAAGTCTGCCGTTCTTACCACTAGCAGTACGGAACATCAATGCTACACATGCAATGCTACTGTACTCTCCCATTGCAAGAAAGGACAGCGACTACAGAACCATTATTTAAAGACTAAATTATTACAAATTCTGTTGGAATTTAGTTGAGTCACAGCGATAAACTTACTATTTTTAGTATGTGAGATATAAAATCATCTATGGCAAAGCCAAAAGGATTTATAATACCGTTAAGTGTTCAAAAGAAGTCATGAATAACAGTGAAGCCAAAAATTTGGCGTCTGTTTCTGTGACAGAAAACTTTTTTTTTAAAGCTTGTGCCTACTACACACAAAAAAGGCAAAAGAATTCATTACAGCTGTAAACCAACTTTTTTTTTTTTTTTTAATTTGACACTACATATAGCTCTGTCAACAAATTAAAGTACTTTAATAATCATGGCTGCAGGTCTGCTCTTTATTTAGTACATTTTTCCTTTGAAAGTCATGATTCTCTTCAGCAAGCATTGGTCCTCAAAGTATTACAGATGTCCATTTAAATGGAAAAACAGAACACTCCAAATGCTCAAAGTTTTACTCATATTTACAAAGCTCAGTCATCTGAATATGATTCTGTTATCAATTAACATGCTTCATGATGTGTAAGTGCTCAATGTGGCAAGAGATCTAAATGCTCCCAGTGCTAGAAAGGAAATCTTTGAAAGTTCAACACAAAATCTTTTAGCAATTTTTTTTTTTTTTTTTTTTGGAGTGAAATGATTTTTCTCTCTGGTCAGAGATGAACTTACTAGGAAAAAACAAAAATACTTATTATGTTATCTTTACATTTTATTCACTGAAAAAGTTTAATGGACTATAGTTCTTAACTCTCTCAGGTACAATACCATATTTTATTAAATTTTAATTAAATAATGAGTTGTTACTTAGAACACTGGAAGCTGAAGATGACCCATGATTTGAAAATAAAGGGTAAACTTGTTTTTATAACTTACAAAAGTAAGTTATAAATGATCACCATGATGAAGTTTTTATATCAGGTTTTGTTTTCTGTACTTCCTAGCAGTCTCCTTGGAAGACCAGGAATCAAACTGTGGTGGTCAGTGCACCCACTAAACTTACAACCAATTAAATCACTTTTGAAAGTTTTTTGGTTTCTAGCCAAGACTCCAGATATCTATGTCTGTAATCATTTCTGCATTTGTTCTCTACATTTAATACAGAATCATAGAATATCTTGAGTTGGAAGGGACTCATAAGGATCACTGAGTCCAACTCCCTGCTCCTCGCAGGACTACCTAAAACTAAACCATATGACTAAGAGTGTTGTCCAGAAGCTCCTTTAACTCTGACAGGCTTGGTGCTGTGACCACTTCCCTGGGGAGCCTGTTCCAGTGACCAACCACCCTCTCAGTGAAGAACCTTTTCCTCGTGTCCAATTTGAACTTCCCTGATGCAGCTTCATGCCATTTCCTCATGTCCTAGGGCTGGTCACCAGAGAGAGGAGATCAGCACCTCCCTCTCTGCTGCCCCCCTTCAGGAAGGTGTAGACTATGATGAGGTCACCCCTCAGCCTTCTCTTCTCCAAGCTGAACAAGCCAAGAGACCTCAGCTGCTCCTCGTAAGTCTTGCTCTCAAGACTTTCACCATCTTGATCACCCTCCCCTGGGAGCACAGCACTTGAGGTGGGGCCACACCACTGGGACAATCACCTCCCTCGACCAGCTCACAGTGCAGTGCTTGATGCACCCTAGGACACTTTTGGCTGCCAGGGCACACTGCTGACTCGCAGTCAACTTACCACCAACCCAAACCCCCAGATCTCTTTCTACAGGGCTGTTCTCCAGCCTCTCATCCCCCAGTTTGTACATATAACCAGGACTGCCCCAACCCAGGAGGAGAATCTTTCTTGAATTTCATATGCTTGGTGATCACCCAACTCTCTAGCCTACCCAGATCTCTCTGTAAGTGCTCTCTACCCTCAAGGGAGTCCACAGCTCCTCCTAGTTTAGTATTGTCGACAAACTTATGTAATGTGCATTCAACTCCTGCACCCAGATAATTTATAAAAACATTAAAGAGCACAGGCCCTAAAATTGAGCCCTGGGGAACCCCACCAGTGACTGGCCACCAACTTGATGTTACCTCATTTACTACAACTCTTTGAGCCCAGTCTGTCAGCCCACCCAACATATGATGGACTTGTCTAGCTGTGTGCTGGACAGTTTGTCCAGGAGGATATTGTGAGATACAGTGTGAGAAGTTTTGCTAAATTCCGAAACCACTACATCTACTGTCTTCCTTGGTCAACTAGATGGCTGACCTTGTCATGAATGGAAACTAATATGGTTAAGCAGGACTTTCCTCTTGTGAACCCATGCTGGCTATGACCAATGACTGCATTTGCTCTCAAGCATTTTTCAGTAACTCCCAGAATAACCTTCTCCATAATTTTACCAGGCACTGAAGTGAGGCAGACAGGGCTGTAACTGCCTTCTTACCCTTCCTGAAAACTGGGACATTTGCCAACTTCCAGTCAATGGAGATCTCTCCGGACTCCCAAGATCATTGCAAACCAATGGAGAGAGGTCCCATGATAACACTGGCCAGCTCTTTCAGCACCCTGCAATGAATCCTATCGGGCCCCATAGATTTAAGTGCATCCAGCTGGAGCAGCAAGTCTCAAACAAGTTCAGGGTCAGATGGGAGTTTATTATCCCCTTGCAGTCATGGTCTTCCAACGCAGGGAAGACGCATGGACTCCCAGAGCCCATCACCAGTGTTACAGACAGAGGTGAAGAAGGCATTAAACATCTCCGATTTCCCTACGTCCCTATTTGTGAGGTGACTAACCTCATAAGTAACAGACTAATGTTATCTGTGATCCTCCTTTTGCCGTTAACGTATTTAAAAAAGCCCTTTTCTTGTCCTTCACAGTGCTGACCAGCTTGAACTCTAATCCAGCTTTAGGCGGCATGAATTTTCTCCCTACAGTGGTGAAGAGCATCCCTGTAGTCCTCTTGTGTCACCTGTCTTTCCTTCCAATGTCCTTTTCATTCGCCATCTAAGTTCTAGAAGAAGATCCCTGCTCAGCCAAGCTGGCCTCCTACCCCACTTGCATGACTTCCGACACTTTGGAATTGCCTGCTCCCGCGCTTACAAGAGATGGCTCTTAAAAAGCGACCAGCATTCATGGGCCCCAATACCTTCAAAAGCAGATTCCCGGGGGACCTTACTGACTAGCTCCTTCAACAGCCCAAAGTCAGCACTGAAGTTCTGCTGGCAGTTTTCTCCTATTGCAAACAATTTGAAATTCAACTACTCTGTGTCACTGTGACCAAGCCAGCTACCAATCACCACTTCGCCCACAAGTCACTCTGTTTGCAAACTACAAATCTAGGAGGGTACCTTTCCTAGTCAGCTCTCTCAGTACCTGCACCAAGAAGTTATCTTCAACGTGCTTCAGAAATTTCCTGGATCTGTTTGCTTCCACTGTATATGCCCAATTGATGTCTGAGAAGTTAAAATCACCGATAAGGCCAAATACAGTTGATCTAGATATCCCTCTAGATATCTAGAAATAGCCCTTAACTCCTTGTAGATTCATTGGTGCTATCATCCTGTCTGGGTGGTTGATAGTAGACTCCCACACAATATCTACTATTATATATATTGAAGTAACTTTTTACTTACACATGTACATTATGCCATAATACCTCAATCAGAGCTGCCAAGCATTGACATCTTCATTGTAACTGTTTCCCCCATTACACAGGTAGAAATATAAAGGTCTTTCCAGTGCATCCAAAAGATTAATAAAAAAGAAGAAAAAGTTAAGAATCCTCTATACAAAGTTCCCTTAAACCAGTAAGATCTTAGCATTAACATCCACAGGATGTTTTCTTGGGCAATACAGATGGACCAGGTGAAAAAAATAATTCAGGGTGTTATAGATTTGTCTTTGGGCTGATTATTATTTTAGGGTCTTGGAAACCTATTTATGAACTAAGGTTCCATTTCAGTCAGTGCCACACAAATGCAAACCAAACACCATTTCTGCCCCAAACAATTCTGGCTACTAACTATAGGCAGAATCTTCATAAAGCAAAAGTCAAGCAACTCCAGCAGGCCATCCTTGGAAAATAGCTGCTTGTTTCATACAAGATGGTTTTGCACTGAAGCAATACTTATGGGGTGCTGTGTAAGGACAGATTCAATAAACATCTTTCCTTATTCAGACCACAGGGAATGCAGTTTGAGCAAGGGACTGCTGGGAGTAGGAACAGTGTCAGAGAATAATTTTCTGACAAATTTTACATACCTGCTCAGCCAGGATTTTCTTTTTCCTAATTTTATATCATTTAAACTTTATGCTTACTTCTTATGTTTCCCTAGTGCAGTTTGACATGATGCGTGCTTGTAACCTCATCGCCACCGTTGCTCTGACTGCTGGCCAGCTCATCTTCGTCCTGGGCCTGATGGAGCTACCTATCATTTCTCAGGATACCCAGTGGTGGGAGGAGGCCATAGCTGCCGTTTTCCAACTTGCCAGTAAGTCCACTTCTTTTTACTGATGAAAAAATACTTAGTTTCTAGTAAATCCAGGTGGAAATGGTTTCTTGCATTATTTATCTTTAAAGTGACAAAGAATAGCAAAAAAGCCTAAATCTAGAAGTAAGCTCATTGTCTCTTAAAAGCTCTCCCCATGAGATTCTACAATACATGAATAGAAGCTTTTATCTTGGATATATCAGAATGGGTCTTCTGCCAACCAAGAAAAACAAGCCTTTATTATTTCCTATGAAACCAGGAAGGCAAACATGAAAGAAAAACTGGATGCAATGTAATCCCACAATTTAGCAGGAGAAAATATACCAAAGGAACTGTTTGAAAGCAGAGCAGAACAGCCGAGCAAATTTTTGAAATCCTGCT